ATCACATACCTCGATTTTAGAGAATGCGAAAGTTGATCTCTAAGTTCACGAAAATTCGTCATTTGGGCCTACCCAGTCCTTATTGTCTCACCTGAATCATGTGAAATTCTTTGTATTATTACCCACCCGTCTATGGTCCCTCTTACATATCCTTCTGGATTTAATTGGCCACACAATATTGGGAGTTGGCGAAGAGTACAAATTGTGAAGTACCTCATTATGTCGTGGCTTTCTTCCTCCACTTAATTGCTCGCTAGCCCATTTATGAGTGAAGATTTTACAAAATCAGTCTGTTTGCCCATAAATAACAACACCCAAACTAATGTACTGATATAGATAAAACTTGTTATGACAGACTCAACAAACTTTTGTCAGTCTATTCTGATTTCGTTTTAATCGCAATTTAATTTTCATGAAAGACTTAAGGTCTTAAATAAATTTACGTAATAGTCCTCTGAAAGATATTGAGATAAATCTGCAACTTATTCTTTTAACTTCTGTTGTTGAAGTGTTACAATGTGGCAGTTTCATTGATTGAGGTCAATTTTAAAACTTAGCTTGTTTGCATACATTATTTGGAATATCTACGCAATTATTTGCCTTGCAGAAAAATATGCAGAATAAAATCTGATATCTGTACAATTCGCATGCCATTCATTTTTTCAATTCGCTTAGTGGGGAGTGGAGTCCAGCTGGGTCCATTCGGCACGGCGGCCACTGATTGGCCTATTGTACCTGCCCCGGGTGATTATGATGATGGAGAATTTGGTGGAATGAAGATTGGCATGGTAAACCGAAGTACTCGGAGAAAACCCGCCCAGGCGCCACTTTGTCCACCTCAAATCCCTCTTGACCAGAACCGGGATCGAACCCGGGCCGCCGCGGTGGGAAGCCGGCAACTAACCGCTTGAGCTATGGCGCGGCCCTTCGCATGCCATGCTTTTACAGTATTTGCACACGACTCCTGATTTTGAGACATTTAATGTATAATAAAACTGCAAAATATACCCCATCGAAATAGCCGTCGAAGCTACTACGATTGTTACAATTAATATGTTGCTGGACATTATCCATCATCTTGTCTGTTCTAAAAACACCGTCTAGTTTCTATTAAAAAACACAACGTTTCGGGAACTGGAATCTGTCCCCGTCTTCAGGTAAAACCTACTCAGGTGGGTCCAATAGACAGAGCTAGCCCCTATCTCCGGACAACTATGCCAGTTTCAGAAGGGATTCATAAAACAAGCACAACATAATCCATCTGTGAGAGCTATGTTGTGGATTATGTTGTGCTTGTTTTATGAATCCCTTCTGAAACTGGCATAGTTGTCCGGAGAAAGGGGCTAGCTCTGTCTATAGGACCCACCTGAGTAGGTTTTACCTGAAGACGGGGACAGATTCCAGTTCCCGAAACGTTGTGTTTTTTAATAGAAACTAGACGGTGTTTTTAGAACAGACAAGATGATGGATAATGTCCAGCAACATATTAATTGTAACAATTTACCATCATCACAAACTTTTAGATCTTATCTACTACGATTGCTTTGCTATGTAGCGGATACCCTTATGATTTATAGCGTACTGCATGTAGGGGCCGCCTATACAGTAGACCGACGACATGGCTTTACGTGAAGCGTATAGTCATCCCCAAGGGTACATTTGCCCGTCCTTGTTAAACATAAGTCATATAGACACTATATCCTGAAAGCAGGCACCAGGATGTCCAGAGGTAAACTAACAGTTTGCTACAAATCTGAAGTAATTAAGTAATTCATACACTTCCAGCAAAAGAACACTCTCATATTACCACAGACTTTGCACAGTTAACTGTTTAAACAAGAGGGCTTCCCATCCCTCTTGTTCCGCGGATACTGGACGCACATTCCCCAAGGATAAACAGGCCACGGGGTGAAGTTGACCACCTCCGTCTCTCGCCAAGGCTAAGAAAGTGTGGAGCCATATCTCTATTCTACCATATCCGCTCGTGGCTTGGTGCTTAGTTAAGCACCGGGGCAAGAATACCTTTTAAGAGTAAAAACACAAAGAGAGGAGAATATAAAAAAGCCCATATTTTTGTCAACTCGTTACTTACAGTGTTCTGAGAATCATCACCGAGTCCTTTTTGATGATCTGAATGACATGTTTACCATGTAACAACAAGTTTAAACAAATACACGCAACTTAATGTATCTGTGGCTTTTTTTTTTTCCGGCGATACTCAACGCTAATTAGTACCAGCATATTTTTTTTTTCATAAAATATAAAATTAGACTAAAATTAGACCTTTTACTAGAAAAACGCATCTATGTTTACTCAAAACTCTAAAAAGTATGGCAACTTTTATTGTGGTGAGGTTTGTATAGTTTTCTCACCTGCCCAGTTTCTAATACTATGGGTCATGTTTTGAGGAGTATTATAAAATTTGAAGAGTGCTTCCTCTGAGCTATAACGCCATGTGATACGGTGAATAAGTCAGTCTATGTTTCGGAAGAACATATCGCCTCCATTGTCAGGGCTGAAGAATAAGTCAAGCGAGAATCTAGCTGTATTCGCTGTCTGCTTCATGCTAGTTTCATGCTTGGCGTACTCGTCGACTCTGAAGACGGAGGCGATATGTTCGTCCGAAAAGTCGATTGACTTGTTGCGGACTGCACGCCCTTGTTCTGTGGAAGATATAACTGTTCTTAGTTACTACTGTGAGGATCTCAAATCCAACATGTTTTGAAATTTGAGTTCAGCTCCATGTAACTAGGTGATTCATGAAACCGATGTGGCTCAAAGTGAAATTCAAGAGCACAGTTTGAGGGTACTCTGGGAACTGCTAAGGAGAATATCTGGCCCTAGGAAAGACGAAATTAACATGGGACTAGAGAAAGTTACATAACGAGGGGTCTCACATTTCCTGTACTTTTCGTTAGTGATTAAAAAGGCCGCGCCATAGCTCAAGCGGTTAATCGCTGGCTTCCCACCGCGGCGTCCCGGATTCTATCCCGGGTCTGCTCAAGTGGGATTTGTGGTGGACAAAGTGTCGCTGGGGCAGGTTTTCTCCGAGTACTTCGGTTTCCCCTGCCAATCTTCATTCCACCAATTGCTCCACAATCACCCTCACCTATCATCTGGGGCTGGTACAATAGGCCAGAAGTGGCCGCAGTACAAGGGACTTAGTCCCACCCCACTAGCAATAAAAAGAAGTGGTTAAAAGAAGATGGATGCAATGATCGGGACATATATCTAACTTTACAGAACTATTAGGCTTATTTTGGACTCTGTCCATCGTCTGGTATATAGAAGAAAAAAATCCATAACGTTTCGGAGACTGGATCTGTCTCCGTCCTCAGGTGGACGGAGACAGATGTCAACGGAGACAGATCCAGTCTCCGAAACGTTATGGATTTTTTTCTTCTATATACCAGACGATGGACAGAGTCCAAAATAAGCCTAATAGTTCTGCACAGCATACACCATCGTCAGAATTCTTTCAAGTCTCTTTGTATCTAACTTGCATGAAGGGAAAAAAGAAATGCATACAAACGCTTTTTTGGAAAACCCCAAGAAGTTATTACCTTATTTTTATACTTTGGGGATCTAAGAGGGAATGGAGAACAAATGGTCTTTGAGAGATAATTCCTGAATGTATGAACTGGATTGAATTGGTTCAGGGTAGGGACGAATTGCGGATTTTGTGACAAAGCTGGTGAACATTCGGACTGCTTAAAGGTTGGGACTCCCATGGCCAGCTCAGTAGCTTTGAACGGATACGGGAAGAGTCTGTTCCATGTAGTTGCCAATTCAGTAAAAATTAACCGAATCATCGACTATATTAACGAAGCGCATAAACACGATAATCATTTAATTTCCTGCGTTCTCAAGTCTTGGAACTGGATTAACAAACTGCAAACAGTTGGTTGATCAGAGTAATAACCCTGTCACATGACTTCACAGCTGACTGCCTCCATGTGACGTCACAACACTCTGAATGGAATTACACACGCAGTTAGAAGTGGGACTGTGAAGAATACTCTCTCTGAGATGTGACCCCATGCTGTTTGATAGATATGTAACAACGTTTCGGAGGAACCTGCTGCCTCCATCTTCATGGCATGAGTCTCTTCTGCAATTCACAGTCTTTCGGGAGAGTAAGAATCATTTTAATCCTGAAGATGGAGGCAGCCGGTTATGTCCAAACTACACGGTATCACATTTCAGAATACCGTAATCTTTACTTTTACTGCAGTGGGAATCTCAGATTTCACAAATTGGAAAACGTATTCCTAACTGGAGTATTTCCGAATGCGTTCATGTGTTTTTGTATACTCCATTGACACTGTACCTTGCACAGTAAAAAACACCTAACAGAATTCCAGCCATCATCAACTTCTTCAGTTTTAGACACGCCTCGTTTTAAATAAAAAAAAAGTTGATGTATATCCAATTTGTGACCGAAATCACACGTCAGAAATTTATGCTTCATGTTAACACAGCACTGCGAGTAATATTTTCTTCTTACTTACTTATTTGAGCCGACTTCTTTTACGCATTTTCCTATACAGGATTGAAGTATTTGGGGTATGTTTATGGGCAGTTGGGCTTAATTTTTTCCCATTTTTAACGGGAACATTTCCTCTGTAACTTGTTAAATGAAGCACATGACAGGACATAATTATATGAACAGAAAACGATAAATATTCAAGTACACAATTTTCCCATTAAATTCTTGTCTTGTCCTTGTAACGGTTTAGTTGAACAGTTTTCGTTTTTTACTGATAACGTTTAATTTCTTTCTCACTTCGTAAGCATATTTTCTGAACGGGATAAGTTCCCTGATAAATTGAAATTTCTGTTTATTTCAATTTCCTTTTTAGATATGTTTTATTGCTGTTTCTTAATAGATACTTTTCGAACTTCCATTTAATGGTCTCCATACTGAAATACTGTCACTTTTCTTTTTCTACGGTACGAAATTAAAATAACGATTGATATTCTGTTTGCCCTCTTCACAGTTCGGGTCGGCCCGGATGTTACGTAGCAACGGCGGCGGAAGCCACGTCATCATCATCTTGCAGGTAAGTCTTAAATGCTCGTGCATTTTGTTTTATTCTAGAGGATTAGGCATGAGCTGCAACAGCATACCAGGGAATTTCTACCAATGCCACAGATCCCCCAAAAAGTTAAGAGGGTATTACTACGAAGAAGTACGAATATGGCGACTGAAATCTGGTATGTCTGCTTGCAGGACAATGTACGACTTCGTACATGAAATCTGACATTTGCAGTATATACTGCATTGAACCCTGTGAAGATGTTTTATCCTTGCCTGTAACTTCTGGACTATTTAGTAAGAGATCCAAAAATATCAATTCTTATATTACTGAACCATCTCAGGGATAGATAAGGTAAATTTGTCCCTGTGCTTAACTAATTAAGCAGTACGCCATGAAGGCGTATGGGGGAGTGGATGTATAGATACAAATTTTCTTGACCTCTACACTAGTTGGAGATCAGTGGTCAGCTTCACGCCCCGGCCGATTTACCCCCGGGGAAGGAACCCCCGGTACCTATTGGATAGGAGGTTCGGTGCACCCCAGAGTCGGTCTGGGCCCTACCGGAACTCGAACTCCGACTCCTCGGTCGTCCAGCCCGTAGTCAGTCGCTATACCGACTGAGCTATCCCGGCTCTTAATAAAGTTTTATGAATATTAAAAATAAGGAGATGATCCTTGTATCTAATCACCAATTAATAAAGGCTCACAGCGCTTGGAGTTAATCCCAGTGTGTTCTAGACTTCGCTACTAGATGGAACTGAGGAGCTTCGTCACTTTATCCATGTTAGGCCCCCCATACACACACAGTTTGGCCTTCCGATCGACCTTACAGGCAAAACTTTCACAGTTTACTCCCTCCCTTTCCTTCCCCATACACGCGCAGATAAACCGGCAGGCTTCATGCCACAATCACGGTCATCCAGCCTATAATGTTGAGTCACGTGCTACGGCCCTGCAGGCAGAACTGACGGACTGACGGGTTTCCCACAGGCCAACAGGCCAAACGATTGGCCGGCCGGCCGCATCACACACGTCAGTTTTGCCTTTCAGTCTTCAACTGTGCAGGCCGAACTGGAGGCCAAACTGTGTGTATGTATGGGGGCCCTTAGACAATGGATGGGCTCCAGGGCCGGTCTGGACGTGCAGTTTCGGCGTATCGGCGAGGTGAACGAAAGCGTAATAATTTGGGCGCGTTTGATGCGTTGTGTTTGATTATATGAGAACCCACATACTCGCTATGAAAGTCAGTTTGGTAGAAACGTGTTTGTTTTGTATAACGAAAAATACTTAGCGACGCACGCGCTAGTTACGCTCTGAATTCGCACAGAAACGCATGTGTAGGTCTTCAAGTAGTGTAGGCTATTCTGTGATTTTATCCAAAATGTGGAATATGTAGCAAATTTTAATAACATTCTTTTATATCGCATTCCATGAAAATCCTCTAAGCGATTCTCGAGTTGTACGCGGACAGAAGGAGGGCGAAGCTGATAGGCGCACTTATGAAAATTTTATTGTGAAGACGTCACAATTCCATGCTCCGGCCGAGAATTGAAACCTGGTCCGCAAACCTTACACACTCACTTCACGTCTGATACATCGAAGTCCATGGAGAACGATTTTGATCTACTTCTCTTCTTTTTTCGTTTCCTTGTTCACATTATTATCCTCGTCCGTATTCATTCTCTTTGTCTCCTTATTATCCGCCTTCTCGCTCTCCACCTTCCTGTGGAAGAAACAAACGCAATGAGGAACTACAGCAAGATTAAGTCCCTTGTACTGCGGCCACTTCTGGCCTATTGTATCAGCCCCAGATGATAGATGAGGGTGATTGTGGAGCAATTGGTGGAATGAAGATTGGCAGGGGAAACCGAAGTACTCGGAGAAAACCTGCCCCAGCGCCACTTTGTCCACCACAAATTCCACTTGACAAGACCCGGGATCGAACCCGGCCCGCCGCGGTTGGAACCCAGGGACTAACCGCTTGAGCTATGGCGCGGCCGAAGCCGGTCCTGTTAGATGCAGTCTGGTCGAGTACATGAATCCACTACCATGGTAACATGCGAGTACCTGTGGATGCATTCAGCAGCGAGTTTGAAACCCGTAAATGAAATTATTTGCCAGCAATTAGAACGCAGTCACCTGTACCTGATGGAGATCAAGTTGACTGCAACAAGGGACTAAATGTCCTGTCGTATATTTCATTCTTTAAAGAAACGCGGTGTGGGAAGGTCTATTCGGATGTTCCATCTCCGAAAGTATTCGAAAATGAAATATAATAGTGGATGTCTACACCGTAATTGATCATGTGAATTTGATTTTGGTTACGTCGGCCGCTTAGAATTTTCAGTCGAAGTTTTAGGGTTTCCAAGAAAGTCTATCGTACAAAAATATTATGGGTTAATACAGCCTTCATCAAGATAAACTTTTATTTTAAACACTTTTAAATATGTAAGTTTTGAGGTTTTCACGGCGATGACTATGAAGAAAGTCGTCTTCTGGGTTTAGGCGCCNTTAAATATGGTTTGCCTTTAACTGATATCTTCTTGTGTAACACGACAGACTGATGCCGGCAAAGCTCCCATCCCCTTTCCCGGGTTGGAAGTATTACGTATAGAAATTTGGTATAACTCCGTGAAAGAGGGTCGGCTGCTCGCAAGGCCTCTGCGTACACACAACACCAACGGGGGGGGGG